CCGCCCACCCCTGCATTTGCCAGCCATGAAACCGGCTTCTGGGCTTCTGGCTGAGCAGTACTCCCGTTGTGGGAGCACACTGACCACCAGGGGGCAGCTCTTGCATTGAGCGTCTGCCCCCGGGTGGTCAGTGCATGTCATAGCAACTGGTCATTCTGCCGTTCGGTCGATTTGCATATTACCCTTTTATTATATAGGATTCATTATTAAAGAAAAAATTAAAGAAATATAATGGGAATTATTTTTATGAAAAGCTACCTGTATGCTTTTTGTACTAGGAAAAATATCTGGAAGAGTATATAGCAAGGTACAGGTTAATGATTAATTCTGAGTGGTAAAATGAAGGGTAATTTTATTCATAACTTACCTGAATTTTCTAAATTTTCAATATTAAATATGCATCATCTCATCATAGAAAATGAGTTTTGTTTTAATTGTGTTTGTTGAAGATTTTTTAATGTGATAACATGCTTATGAGATAATGTTAGTCACTTTCCATAAATAATATACAGTCCATTTGGGTTCAGAGTCTAAGTTTTAATAAAAATATACATTATTACGCTCATAAGAGATGTCAAAGTTGACAATTCAGGCTTTCTTGCTTACCTGAATGCTATGATTTTGTTTTTGCTTTCCTAATTAATATAATTTTTTTTCAAGGAGATAAATGCAATTTCTGAAGCACTAAAATATTATGTAAAGCTTTGCAAGCCATACGCATAATGAAGTAGAAGTCCTAAAAATATTTACGCCACACATTAGCAAAATTGCACGAATATAGGATTTTGGGAGCTAGAATAAAATTTAGAACTGATTTACGTAAGAACCACTAATTTTAAGACTAGAATAGGATGCAAGTCTCCTGATTCTCTGTCCAACGCAATTATTTACTACCTTTTTGAAAACTAACAAATGTCTTCCTTTTTCAAAGTCAATAATGATCTGATTTATATCTATGTAACATTCTTTATGATGTCATGTAAGTAACAGATTAAACCTGATTTTTTACCTGCTAGTACCTTGCTGGGTTCATTAACAAAAACAAAACAAAAAAACACAAAAGAAACAAACAATAACAACAACCACCTATATTTTTATGTGTCATTTTTCCTCAAAGTGTTCTGAAAATAATTTGACTGGAGCAATTTTATTTTAAAATAAAAGACAGTTGACCTGTTTGAAATACTTGCTTTATAAATGGCTAGGAATTCTTCAGTCTAGTGAACTGAAAAGTCCTTTGTCACCAACTACAGGTAGGTTATTCCCAAGAAAATATTCTTCCCATTTCAGCCATATCTCTTGAAAGAAATGTCTAAATAGGATCATAAAAGACAGGAGGTATTTGATTTTAAGATCAAATTGGTACAACTGGACAATCAACCAGTCAAGAGTGAAGGGAGAATCTATATTCAAGAGTTTCATGATTATTGAGCCACAAGTTATAAATTTAAGTTTCAAAAAAGCATTATTCATAACTTGTAAAAATTATTTCCGTATCCTGTAGATCTTCAAATCAGTTGAGAAAATGGAAGAATGATAACACATGATGAGAATAAAAGGAAAGGCTTGGTTTAAGGGAAACCATACAATGTTTTTGAAATGGAAATGACAGAGTTCATGCCACAAATATAAGATACATTTCTTACTAGACTATCAATAACAGAGACTGACCGGGGTGGGAGGTAGGTAAATAGGAAGAGAGGCCACATAGAAAAGAATCAACCATGGCAGTGGTAATTGTAGTTGAATTTCTTTTATTTCTCACAAATGAACCTCCTAGAGCTGAGAAAAGAATGTGTGATCTGCATTCAATGTCTAGCAATGAAACAAATTGTTCTGTATATCAGTAGAAACTGGAATGGGACTTTTATAAATTCCCTGAAAAACCTTATCAATTTCAAATTCAGAATTAATAATACAACCGATAAGACCATCACAATTCAGAGCCTTCTCTGTGCAGAAGTCCTAATTCTACGCATGCCCGGTGTCTTTAGGAGCCTGCCTATTTTGCCAGCAGCCCTGATTGGGAGTGGGGAGGGGAGAGTGATGACTCCCTCTTGCAGTGAGTCTGAGCTACAGCTCTTATGTTCAGTGCCTCTTAATGATAAGAATGAACAATCATGAGTTTTCTTTGTCTGATTATTGGCTTAGCAATATAAAGAAGACATATTTATCATCTATATTGGTCCTCTCTTTTCCCTCTCAATTCCAAAGACATAGTGACTGCTTATTTCCCATCCATTCAGCGTTGCATCGGTGCATTTAGAATGTGTTGACAACCTTGACCAGGTTTATCTAGAGTGCAGGTAAAGACTGAAATGAGACAATTATAAATTTCCAATTCATCTCTTTACCTTCAGAGGCTAACACAGGATACAAACATGCTCTCTCCCTGCTTCATACTTTCCCTCTCTCCACAGTCAAAGGTCATTTTCTCTACAGACATGATAAAGAAGCCAGTTTTAAAAGGATCCAGACAACGTATTCATCTGGCATGCTGAATAGAGTAGGTAATGAAAACGAGATATCCTAGGTAAGAAAAATGTTTCAGTGAGAGTTATCCCAGTGTATTGGCTAAGAGCTCTAGGTCTGAACTGGGCAGTGTTTGAATCCCATCCTCACAGTTTACTCTCTTCGTGATCTTAGCAAGTTGCATCAGCCTCAGTGTCTTTATTTGAAAATAAAGATTGTAACAGTTTCTAACTTACGAGGCTGTTGTAAACATTGACTATATTAATGTATGGAAAGTACTTAGCTGACTTCTAAGAAGTGTTCACGAAATAATACGACTGTTATCATCATCATTACTATGGTAAAGTAACTACATATTTATGGAAAATGGAATAGATCAAAGACAACTGAACATTTTCAAATTCAGAGTTTCTTGCACTATAATGCGGAGGAATTCCTTATACTGTCATGTTTTCTCTTCCTTTTTAAAGAAACTGTTTTAACATAAAACAAACTTTAATAGAAGAAACTGTCTTATTTTACAATTTATCCTCATCCACACAGCAGAACCTCACCATTCGCTTCTGACGGAAGGCACATTTAATAGTATAAGTTCATTAATAATAAATCTAAGGTCATGACTTTATCTGCAAGTCTGACTCCTCGTTGGAGGGTGAGAGGACGCAAAGAGCCTTCCTGTCACCAGAGGACCAGGCCGGGTTCCTGCCGCTTAGGAGCAACTGACAAGAGCGCATCTGCCACATTCAAACACGCGTTAGGCATTCACGATTGTTTTTCTCCACTTTAAGGAAACTCTATGTCTCAGCTATTTTGGCATTGTTTATCCCTGCTCCTTAAAGAAAGCAGCTTGAGGATCAGCAGCTGATGTAATTCAGCAAAACGCTGAGTCTTAGCGGTGGCTAAGTCCCTCTGTAAGCAAGCTCCCCTGGGCTATCAGATGTCTGCGGGGCAGGAGGTTTAACTGCTTCCTGGGAGGCTTGAAGGAGGAGGAAGGAAAACAGCACAACACGTTCCCCTCCGACAGAAAGCGGTAACTGCTTGGTTCAGGAAAAGTCCCATTCTGCAATGCGCACTACAGACCTGAGGCCGTAGAGGACAGTGCCGTCGGGATGCAGGCGGATCATGCGGTTCTTGACGGTCACGCCGTGCACGAACGACTTCTTGTCATTCAGGAAGTAGGTGTCAGGCACCCAGAGCTGGTCTGCGACTCGGTTGTCCAGGGTTAAGTTTAAAGGTATGACATTATACGACAGCCTCTTATCTCTCCAGGCTTGTTGAAAATACATTGTCAACGTATAATCCTGTAAAAGTGAGCAGAAGATATGCTTATTTTTGTACCCAAGTGGACTTAAGAGAAAGGCAAACATTTCTATATTCATAAGAAAAGAAAATATATACAGCCATACAGCAGCCATATACTATACACATACACTATTCACATAAATAGGCAAATATTAATGTACTAAACACATTCTGACTGAGACCTACGGTGTGTCAGGCACCATGGTAGGAACTATAAATACAGAAGTGAAGAGAGCATATCCCCATTAAATTTATTACACATTACCCAGGAAGAAACGTGGTACAGAATAATTACTTCATAATTAGTTTGTCTTTCCCAAAGTGGGGTATACAGGATTGTTTTAGGTGAGACAAAACACTTCTAAAAAGTGGTTAATTTATCATAGTAGTAATAGTAAGTCCGTTGATGAAAATCCTAACTGGTCTCATGAAGGTGAGTTTCCCAGGAGAGGTGACATTTACACCGCAACTCATGTGGCTTCCCAGATAATAAACAATATCCTCTCAAACACTATTTTGTGAGAACTTTAATCCCAGGATTATGAATCAGCTGGCTGGGCTCTTCGCTGCTGAGGAAGCGAGTTGTCACAAAGGGAGCAGCGGCCTTAGAGTCTCAGTGCCAGCATTTCTCCACTGTGTCCAGGATGGAGATTTATACCGTTTCTTTTCACTTCAGTTCCATTAGCTCTAAATGGGGGTTTTAGGACAGGCCTGAACAAACCAGAAGATTGTGATGACAATGAAATGTATAATGCAAATGGAATGTGTAAACTACAAAGGCTATAGATTATGAATAAAGCATTTACATATATACTGTGACATGTTTTATCCATTAGAAGCCTCTGGGTCCACTGTAATTGCGCTCTCACCCTTATTTGGATGACTAAATGAAGGGCCAAATATTCATTTGAAAGGACAATTACCTTTCTATTTTAAAATCAGTTCATAATGCCCTAGTTGAGGGCTTAAAAGGACACTCTAGAATCATGTTTCTGCATACTTTTGTGGACAAAATATACACTTTAATCTCCGCGAAGTCTCTGAGTTTTTCCAACTCTTGTTGATATTTATACATCTTAATTTGGTTACATAATTTTAAAATATGACTTGTAACACATTATCTGCTTAAAAACATTGAACAATTTCCATAGGAAAAGCATAACCCCCCTGGTTTCACAAATAAACAAATTTTGATCTCATTCAGAATTCAGTCCTATCCTACTTCTGAATGAGTAGCTGTAGAATCAAACTTCTATTCTAACAAAAGGTATATGAATACCCTCAGGGTATATCAAATAACTGCAGGTAAGATTTCCTTTGGTGGATCACTATAGTTCATGCTCTGGACAGTTCTGCAGCACTCTGCTTTAGTAAAAAAATCAGTCTGAGGCTCTCTAGAATAGCATCTTGATTTGTAAAAAAGCAACCTTGATGACTTATGAATTATAAAACTAGAAAACAGAAAAGAAACCAGATATGTTGTTTCCATGTGTCTATGTTACAAATAGCCTAAAATGTAGGATATAAGTAAAATAAGCCATTTATATTGAGCTTGAGAGAACACACTCAGTGATATCAAATTCTTGGAGACAAAGTGGAAAACGTGCTTATTATCTCTATTAGAAGATACTGCTACGTAAGCTTTGATAATAAGCCCTCTTAAGATGTAGGGGAGATAATAGTGTTTGGATGCTACTGGAGTTTATCGTTCAGCTGAGCTGTGTTTGGACACAGGACATTGTATTTTCTTTTGGGCTAAATAAATGATAATATTGTGAGATCCTGTATCATAGGAGAACCCCTGTTATTTGTCAGCAAGGCAATGCCTGCTAAGAAATGCTCCTAGACAGACCCTGGTGATTCTGCTGTCACATCAACTTTCATTTTATTTATTTTTAAGTGACACATCATGGTAATGTCAAGAATGGAAGAAACTCCTGAACCTAAGTAACTGTTACTGGG